TTTAAGGAATTAGATGGATTAATCACTTTTGCACTAACTTTGATAATGTTATGAGTATTTTTGCGCTTTTTTTCACTTTAAACTACTAAATGCTTCTGGCCGATGACTTCGTTGTATTTTTGCTCTTTTTGTAGTTTACATCAGTAAAGATTAACACATGACAAACATAGCAACATAGTCAGCATTGAACACTAGAAACTAACGGCATTAGGGCAAGTTAAATGTTTGGTCACTTTTGTAATATCCAAAAAACGTAGCCCCTAATTAGTTGAGTAAATAAGGTTAATTAAGTAAATTGATGTGATGTGTGGTTACAAAGAGGTAATAGATGTTTTAGGTTGTGATTTCATCCCTAGGATTGGATCCAAAGTGAAGTTAGGCCACTCGGACCTTGAAATGGGAGAAAAACAAAGAGGAATTGCTCTATGTAATATATCATGGGGCGTGTATGGCATGCTATGATATATGAGTCACTAAAACATAGAATGTGCTTCTTTATGTGACATGTCGTGACGCAAGGCCATGATTGAATTTAGTGATATTCATATAGAGGAATATGAGTAGTCAAGATAGAATTTATCCCTCATGTTAATTGAGAGATATTACTGGGCTCCTTGATGAGTAACATTAAGAAAATGTATGACCTACTATGATGGAAATAGTTTTTTTCCATTGTTATAATCAGTCCACTCAGAAATCAAGAAAGTAATGGTCATATAAAAGAGAATGACAATTTCATGTCTCATACCTGACTAAAATATCGTGTGATAAAAGGGATATGATATGGTTATATGATAGATTGCACTGGATCATCGATCTCTATATAAATTGAGTAGTTATAATGTTTTGCTAGATGCTACTTGTGACTTTTGGGCTAATAACATAATTAGCCTATTGCCGACTTCATATAGGCCTATAAGGTAACACACAAAAATAGCCCAACTCAAGCTATAATGTCCAAATTTATTAAATTTGGAATATGTTTAGATTCAGTAAATGTAATGCTTTATCTAGGGTGAATGAATTATATACATATATATATATATATATATTTGTATATTTATTTGATATATATATATATGAAATATAAAATTTAAAATATAATTATATTTTTTTTAAATATATATTTGTGTATGTGTGTGTGTCTGATATATATATATATATATATATATATGTATCTATGTATGTATATGATACATGAAACTAAATATATATAATATAATATATATGTATTTTTGAAATATATGTATATATATTCATGTATATATATAATATAACATGTATATGTGATGTTATATTGTATTTATAATATAATATATATATAATATAATATAATATTTTTTTAGTTTTAAATTTAATTTTATATGATAGATTAAATTTAACAACTAACATGATATGAGAGAATATCATATCAGTTCTATAGTTTGAATTTATAAGATAAATTAAAATTAGATATGATATTATAGGTTTTATTTATGAGATAAATTTAATCTAATATTTTCGTTGGCTCATTAAAGGAAGATTAAAACCCTAATCTATATAAATGATAGATAAGGATATGTGCTATAGAGAGAGTAAGAAAAGTTCTGATGGCCAAATACCTTGAGAGCCACAAAACACCCTAAAAAAAATAAAAACAACATTCAAAGACGAACAGATATTGGGAGCGCTAGCATGCTATTAGAGTCAGAGAGTTATTCGTGTGGATATTAATAGAGGGAGCAAATCTACGTAGTTGGCTCCTAAAATCCAAACTCTTGAAGAAAACGTGCATGAAGTTTGAAACAAAAAAGGTAACTCTTCTTCTCACCTTAACTTAAATAACTTTGTTTGGTCCCTATCAGGACAAAAATTTAAAATTTTAATCTTCCATTGCGCCTCCCTTTTCAAGAATGTTGTCCTATTTTCACTTAAGAATCCTGAGTGGCTGTAACGTACCACCTAGTATCTGGTGCTCAATCTTGACTTTTTGGCATGTTGGGCATTGAGCCACATGGACTTTTTGAATGGGTTTTTTTTCACTTAAGTTTATATATATATATATATATATATATAAATAAAACAAAGGGATTAAAAAAGGAACTAAACAAGAGTACTGATGTCATATTTTTTTCACTTACGTTAATCCAAGTTGGTATAACTTTTGTTTTTTTGACATGTCTTTTTAAATGAGTCAGATTTGAATATTATTGGATTCCATTGAAAACAATTTTTTCAAAGACATTTTTTACATAGACTTAGACTTGAAATTTCATACTTAAGCCTCTTATACTAATACCAATGCTTGATGGTGAGTTAGGTAACTTTATAAGCTAACCATTGGTATATACAATTGTCATGCATAGTACAGCTTACTCTAGTTTTACATGTATAGTAAATATGATATTTATTCATGAATAAGTTAATAATTTCAAAATTATATTGGTTAGTTTTTTTTATTGCTCACAAATGTTCTTTTATTGAAGACAATTCTATTTAAAGCATGGTCGGGCACTAAATATAAGTATTTTTTTAGCAAAAATTTAAATATTAATTTATCACATTATAAAAGACTAGTTCATTCTAATAGATCTCACCCTTGTTATTTTTATTGATTAGATTTTTTTTTTGGGTATTGATTAGTCAAATTTAACATTTTGTATGCTAAGGTTTATCAGGGACATAGGCCAAATGGCCAATTTTGTAAGTAAGTCCAATAGATGTTTGAAAAAGCTCTTAAAATCAAGGTACTAAAAATTAGATTAGTGATTAAACTGATTAAGATATTAGGTTAAAGGTTAATGATCTGACACCAGTCTTATGCAAATTAAATTATTTTTAATTCTACAACATGATAATAAGATTAAAGTGACAAAAATAGTAATAAAATATAAACATAAAAAGAAATTTAAATAAATATTAACAGATTATTTTAAAATATATGTAAATATATAATTTTAATTAATAAAAAAATCAAAATGTGTGTGGTGAGGACAAGAAACGTGTATAGGAAAATGCGAGTGATGCATCTAACACTTATAGCTTGTTTGAATAAAAGATCCAATAAAGTTGATAATAATGAGCAATCATTTCATTTCTTTTTTTTTTTTAAAAAAAAAGGGTAATGAAACCAAGAAAGACTTGGGAGTTGGGAGTGGCTACTAACATATACTAGGAACACATCTTTTGCTCTCCTTCATCAGAATGCTCATCAGGATAAGTGGGGTTGAATCACAAGAATCAAGATAGAAGAAAGAATGGGAGAGTAAGTGAGAGAGGGGCATCAAATCAAAATGGAGTGAAGCCTGGAACTTGAAGAGCAACAAACCGAGGAGATAGCATGATGATGGAGTTAAACACTTGAACGAGGGATCGAGACAAAAGTAGCTCAACGGTAGTGAACACTAACGAGTCCATCATAGCAAGGAAGATTTCAAAGGCTTCATCGATTATGTATTTTCAAAAAAAAAATTGCATCAATTTTAAAAGTTAAGATATGAAGATACAAGCAATTACAGTGACTGAGGTTTGAGTGATTTTGTAGTTTTTTTTTTTTTGATTTCTCATTTTTGAATTATTTTTAAAAAAATTCAAAACAACGACATCTTAAATTTTTTAAAAGGAAAAAAGTAATCCCGGCTGACCTATCCAATCCATTAGGTTAGCCAAGTTATGCTAGATTAACTCCAAATTGATTGGGTCAGCTAAAAATTAATTTAGACAAAAAAACCAGATAGAAAAAGAGGCTGGTTTATCAGCCAATCTAGTTCAATTTTTTATTCCATACTTAAAACATTTTTGAGTCCAAATTATACCAACCACAAAAAGAAAAAGGAGTTGTCCGTGGATGCTTTCCCGCGCAAACATTTTATATTTTATCAAACAATTACTCCTTCTATTTAAAAATATAAAATATTTTTTGATAAGTTAAATATTAAAAAATATAAAATATTTTTATTTTTTTAAGGTGTAATTATTATTTTTTTTAAAAGTGTCCTTATTGATAATAATTTTATATTTATTGTAAGATATTTAATAGAAATAAATATGAAAAGACAGGATTAATTTGAAAGTAGATAATTACTTTATTGAAAGATGAGATTCGATTAAAAATACCTTATATTTTTTAACAAAGGAAGTAAAAGATATGAGATAAGATCATTCAACCAATCATTTTATTTTGGCTAGTCAAGAGTAACATGGCATTTTTAAGAAATCTCGCTTGACTCAAAATTTAAAGTATTATAAAGTTTTTATAATTTCTTCATATGTACTTCTATTTTATTTTTTTTTGAAAGATAATTCATTAAATTTTTAGTTGTCATTATTACAACATTTATATAATAGAATACATCAAACAAAAATATATAATTTAAAAATGTATAATTTTTTTAAATTAAGATTTTAACTAATTTTTTTATTATTGTCAAATATCCTAGAATAAATTGAAACTTAAAAAGTAAAATTTAAAATTGATTTAACTTTTGAATACTTTATTTTATTCGAAATATAAGTGATGTTTTAAAATTTTTTATGCATATTAAAGATATAAGTATATGGACATTTTAAACTATATTAATTTGAAACTAAAGGAAAAAAAATTAATTAAGCATCTAAATACTCATTCTGTTTAAAAATATAAGACATTTTTAATTGAATCTCACCTCCCAATAAAATAGTTACCTACTTCTAAACTAATTATATTTTTTTATATTTATTTTTATCAAACACCCTATAATAAATGTAAAATTATTATTAATAAAGATATTTTAAAAGAGACAATAATCATATTTTAAAAGACTAAAAACATTTTACGTTTTTAAATATTAAATTTTTAAAAAAATATTTTATATTTTTAAATAGAGAAAATATAATATTTTAATTTTTAAATAAGATTAATTTTTTTAAACATAACTTTTATTTTCATTATTTCAGAACAAGGGGAGTTCTGGAGCCGATTTTTAATTTCCTTTTAAAGTAAAAAAGAATTTTACTTAAAACGGACCCTTCCTCCCATTCTCTCTCCCCCTTCATATCTCCAGTCTATTGATACGAAGAAGACATATTACATCACCTTCAAACTTGGCTTCTGCGTGGGATCAAAATTGTTGGGGATTGCGAAAAGATCTTGATTTTAGGCTAAAATGGAGGAGGCAAAGGCATTGCAGCAACAGCAGCAACAATTGCTTATTCAGCATCAGCAGAAACAGCAGCAACAATTGCTGCTTTTCCAGCAAATGAAGCAGCAGCAGCAGCAACAGCAGCAACAACATCAGGCGCAGCAAGCTGCGGCTATTTCTCGTTTCCCCTCTAACATTGACGCTCACTTGCGTCCTATTCGCCCTATCAATCTCCAGCAAAGCCCTAATCCTAATCCCAACCCTAACCCCAACCTCAATTCCAATCCCATCGCTAATGTCCACCAAAATCCTAATTTGAACCATCTTCAGCAGCAATCGCAGCAACAACATCAGCAACAGCAGCAGCAGCAGAAGGTCATTCGACCCACTAACCAGATGGAGCTCCAGATGGCGTACCAAGACGCGTGGCGGGTATGCCACCCGGACTTCAAGCGACCCTTCACTTCCCTCGAAGATGCATGCGAGAGGTGAATCATAACCCTGAGCTTCATTAGTATTTCGTGTTTTCTTTTTCTTTTTTCTTTTCGTTGCTGAGTGAATAATTTGGGGGATTCAAGTTCATTTTCGGTTAATTTTGACTGCTTGATATGTTACATTATTTTGATTTTTCGTTTCTTTCTTTCCACTTTTTGAATTTTTTAGGTCCATTCTTTAGTAACAATTATTTATGCAATGGCCATGGTGGAAGGTTGTTAATTAGCTTTTATATTTTGGGAATTTTTTTGTATTCGTTATGCAATATCCTTGGGATAGACAGAATCAAGACTTTTGTAATGTTTTGTAAATGTCGAGTCTCATGAGTGCCTTCTTGACGATACTATCAGTTTATAAATGTTGGGAGAAGTATTATCTGGCAAGTTATAACACTTGGCCTGTCATTAATCTGTTCATTCTTACAGATTGCAAGTGATTGAATAGTAAGACATGTTCAATCAGTTGATCTGTTTCCCAGCATATCGAAAAAGTCATGTACTAGCTTATGACAGTGGTTTTGGCTTTGTGTGTTGTTTTATATTTAATATTTATTAAGCTTTTGGCTACACTGATGAAACCTTTGTGCTTTTCAGATTTATGTGAATAATTCCAAAAGAGTAAGATGCAATAAGAAATCAGTTTCTGTTGTTAATATCAATCTCTGAAATCATGTCAGATGTAATTCAGGATTTTTTACACTATAAACTAAGGAATAAGGCTTACTAGCTGTCTGGCTTGTTTATACCACATGAAAACTTATTGTAAGCCTTGTTGTTTTGATAATTGACTGTAGCATTACCTCCACCACGATTACATGCAAGAGATTGATTGACCAACAAAACTTAGAAAGTTTTTATTAGGAAGCCAGATGAAATTATATTGACATCTTCTTGATGGAGTGCTTATTTAGGTTCTTTGTGCATAAATATTCAGAATATGCCCCATTCACGCATAATTCTGAAGCAGCTAACAATCTTCTGCAGTTCTGCTCAAATCACCTGGTTTTTTTTTTTTTTTATGCGTTTCCTTTTCTGTTAGAGCAGATTTACTTTGTATTAAAGCTTAGCCATTATACAGGACAGTAGATTCTATTTCATGAAAGGGCTGCTAGTTGGGCTGGCTTGTGTGCGCTCTCTGCTTAGGTAGAACCTGAATTATTGTTATCACTTCTCACTAGTTTACAATCTGGAAATATTAAAAGAGAACATTCATGATTTATCTGATTGAATTCAAATAGTTCTGAGGTCATCAAGAGATAGCTGGAAAGACTTTAGATAGCATTCTTCTCTAGCAAGCGTTGGAAAGGTTATTGTTGTCATAGATTTATCAAACACGCTAAATTTTAAGCTACGAGTGTGGAAACTTCTAAAAAGGAGCTTTATATGTGTTAGACACAGCATTATATGTTATGTGTAACTTCAAATAACACTATGCATTGTTAGAGTTCACGTGTTGTTTTTCTGTGTATCATACTGTTATTCCATTCAGTGCTTTTTTTGTTTCTTCCCAGTGCATGCGAATTGCACTCTTACATACATTTGTGTCACATTGTAGTCCCTGTACAGCTATGCCTAATTATACCCTTTTTGCTATTTTCTAATCGGAGAACATGCATAGTTTAGTGCTCATTTTTATATTTACCTTTCATGTGAGCACGTACTTCTCAAGTGTGTGCGTGTGTGCTGTATTTCTGGGAATGAGATTATTCTGTGATCTATTTGTTTTTGCAAGGCAGGTCCAAAGTATTAATGTAATATTTTTCAAGTTTACACAAGTTCCTATGGTTTAATTCATGTTCTTAGTCCTATCCATTACTTTTTGGTGAGTCTGCTTATTTCCTTGCCATTTTAAGCATAATTGATGATACCATCTTTGGCTGTCTGTGGCTCATTATGTGAGCCAAGTTTAAAGAAGAATTTTTCAAAATAAGCTAAATTATCTCAGTCTCATAGATTTGAGCAGATGATTTTTTTTTTTTTAATAACTCATTCACAAAGATCCATGTAGCCAATCCCACCTAGTGGGATAGGGCTTGTTGTTGTTGTATTATCAGTCTTGGCAAATTTTTATGATGTCCCAACCCCAAATGAGCAAATTAGAGATGTTTCTGAAACAACCTTTGTTGCATATAGTAAGTATGGTGATGAGCTACAGTTCCTTTTTTTTTTTTTTTGGCTGGGTTCATCTGAATTATATTCCAGTCAAGATAGGAGGGCCCTTGAATTTTTCAATCCTCGAGCTCATTTTCTTCTGAATCCAACTTTCAGTGTCTAACAAGTTCTTTGAATTGGTGGAGGTTTTCCTTTGACTGGCTTATAAAAATCTTGAATTCCTTGAGACTCTTACCTTCTGCGTGCGTGTGTGGGTAGTTGTAAATGGTAGGATGCTGGGATTAGTGCAAATGTCATGTAAAGTTAGATATTATTTACTTTAGAAACAGTGATCTGTTTACTTCACATTTTCCGGTGGCTATACAAAATTATGGGGGCAAAAAAATTGTTGCAGTGTGCTGTTTTTGCAGTTCTATGGTGTACATAGTTAGATTGGACTGCCCACAGGGCATCATCATGTTGTTGCCTATAAAATTGTTGAGCAGTTGAATGGTGCTTATGGCAGTTACTTGATGCTCTTCTTTATTGATGTTTTGTGGGAGTTTTACTTCTGAGATTGAACAGCTCTGCTAGTGCTGCACTGTTGAGCTTTTCAGGCTCTGCTCTTTAATTGGCCTAGTTTGGGCAATATTGTATTCTCCTTGTAGTACTTGTGTTCTTTTCTCTCTAATAAAATTTCTTCATTTATTATGAAGAAAAATTACATGTGAAATGTATAAATATAAAAACATGAAGTAGAAACTCTTGGTTAGTTGACCTCACTTAGTGAGATAAGATTTGTTGTTATTGTAGTTAAAAAGTTTTTGTACAATGGCATATCTGACACGACAGAACACCTTTGTGGGTTATAATCTTGTCTGAGAGAAAATAGAATTGGTCTTGTTGATTGTTCTTTTTGTGAAAACAATCGTGCATTATTTAATGTTGCAGTGTTACTGCCGAATCAAACCCTTTTACTTTTTAACCTTTTTCCTGAGACGAAGGGTGTGGTGGTGGTCCAGTGGAATAAATATCAGCTTCCAACAGAACTGCTGGAAGAACCTAGATGTGTTGTATTTAGTAAAACTGGTTAAACGGTTTTTTTTTTTTTTTTTTTTTAAAGAAGTGTCTGCTACATGCAGAATATTCAGTTTTTCTTTGTCATTTCTGTTATGGAGCATTCAAACATTGATGTTGTGGCACATATGATTCAGACACACTTCTTGGATGTGAAATTCCTGTTACTTATATTTTATTTATAATAGAAAAGAAACTTTATTTGGAAGATAGATAATTGCAAAGGAGGTTAAGACAACCCCCAAAAAGAGAATGAAGCGGAAAAACGAATTAAAAAAGATGAAAGAAATAGCTTGAATTTAAAGAAAATAGCTACGCCAGTATGTAACCCTGTTGCTATTCCTATAAATCAAAGACTCTCCCTCTAGAAAACCTTGATCGGAATATTATTTTTGTTCTTGATTATGTTGATGATGGCATTCAGAGACATAGTTTTGATTAGATCAGGCCAGGAATATTTACTTTAATCGCTTAAGAATGACCAAAAGTTGACTTATCATTATAATTGTTATATAAAAATCTTCCTTGAAACTCTGTTAGTTCTCCATGCTATACTATGCTATATGCATAGACTGAAATCTTTTTTTATTAAAGTTAATCTCATAAATTTTCTTGGGAACCATGCCATGCTACTTCCTTACTTTATATTATTCCATTTGTGTTGACCAAATATGAGCATGAAAAGGGATAATTGCACGATGATTTCTTGTTTTGCAGACTACATTTTAATGTTTCCTGCGTTTGACATGTAGAATTGAAATATAGTGCTCCATGTCACTTGCCAATCACTTTTTCATATCCTATTACGGCTCAAGTGATACTGCAACCTGCTTGCATGTGTCCTCATATGCAGATTATTGCCATATCACGTTGTGGCAGACTATGAAGCAGAAGAGGATGATAGGATTCTTGATTCTGACACCACAGGTCAGGTGCTGTCACGATCACAGCAATGGGATAATAATATTGCTGCTAAGGTTTCTGAGTTTGTAGCGACTTTCGAAAAGCAGGCACTTGCCTTTAATATAATAACCCGCAAACGAGCTATGGGAGAATTTCGATCTGAGGAAAGATTGTTTATTGAGCAGGCTCTTCTACAAGATGAAAAACGGGCCTTATTCGAATTAAGAACAGAACTAGAATCCAGGGAGAAGGCTGGTCGTGAAGCCCATGAGGCTAAGCTACGGATGGCAGCTATGGCTCAAGCAGAGCAGGCTTGGGTGGATTCACACCCTCATGCAGAAATGATGGGTCGAGCACCAATTAGAGACAATGCACTCGGGTCTCAAGGCAATGACATGGGAGAGCAGGGTCAAGGAAGTAACCCAGGTGAGATGATCAATGGATGGGGAAACAATGCACAGAAAGATGAGAAGGAACCATCTGAAGATTTCTTGAATGATGAAGAAGTAGAGAATGGGGACACTGGCACGCAGGATGGCTGGCGTGAAGCTGGTGAATTTGATCTGAATGCCAGGTGATTGATCCGAAACAAACTGTTCGAAAATTGGCGGGAGAGTTCGAGTTTGGTTTCCTGGGAACAACATCCATATTAAAGAAGCTTCATCCATCTTGAAAAGCTAATGGACATGATCCTTCATCTTTAAGATCCATTATCAGAATAACTCAGTTGATCAGGGTCCATTGACAAAGGAGCAGGGAAAACTACTTAATTGGTGTTATTAGAGGGGATATATTTGGAAATAATTCCTTCAGTGCATATAGTTGCAGCATCAGGTCGAAAAAAGTATTTGTATTGATGTGATTGCTCTAGTTAATTGAAATTCCTTCAGAGCGAATATAATTTCATGTTTTTTGGAACTTGATGTAAGTGCTCTAGTTAATGACCCAAGCCTCTGGATATTTGACTCACTATACTACTAATGGTTTAGTTAAAATGTACTTAGGCAATATAACTAACTTCTTCGTCTCTATTAGATTTCTATTTCCTTCACAGGGAACATTCCTTCTGGAAATATTTTTGGGTTTAGTCTTTTAAATTTAATTTTTATTAATTTGGTTCTTTACATTTTTTTTATATTATAATGTTAGTTTTGTAAGTTTTAAAAGACAAATTTAACTTTCAAATTAATCTGATGTGTAAAGTATATTAATAACTTGACTTATATATATGGTTAAATGAGAACAAATTAGTTTTCAAATCAGTTTAATTTTTATCAATAGAATCTTTTATTTTGCATTTTGCATTTTTGTTTTCAAAAAATTTAAGTTTGTTTATTTCTTTTCTAAATAATTATATTTATTTTCATTAATTTACATGATTATTATTAATATTTTTTATTTATGTTAATAAATTTTAACATTGTTACCTTTTTTTTAAATAAATAGGACTAAACTGATAACTAATGTAAATTTAAATGACTAAATCAATAAAAATTAAATTTGAACGGTGAGACTAATAATTGAGATAAAATTGAGAGATTAAAAGTTATAATATCTCTATTTTTGTGCTTGTGAAGAAGATTAATTTATTCACGGTTCATTGCTTTGAAGATTGCTGACTAAGTGTATCTCTTGTAGCCATTCTTGTCATCATCATCATCAATTTCAATCATAGCCATCATTTATTTGATAAGAAAATCATTAATTTTGCATGCAAAAATGGTTAAAGATGTTTAAGAAAGTGATCACTGTACTCAAAGGGAGGGAGGGCATTTAGCATTTGCCATTTTTTGTAGAAGCTATCTTAAAAGCGATCCGGACATAGACAAGAGTCATAAGAAGATGTGGAACTCTCCTCTTAGCAAATGCCCTTCATTGAAATACTTGAATATGGCATCTCCAATTATAATTATTATTCCTCCCAATGGATAAATATATCTTTTCTTACGTTTATGAGACACATATATGCATTTTGATAAGGGCATTCTTGCATTGGAACTTCGTCTCTCCATCTATTGTAACATATTTACTTGAAAAACTCATCAAAAGATCCACTCATCCACATCCACACACAAATATAGAGAGAGAAAGAGAGTGAGAACAAAATCCCATTGAATTTGTTCGTACAAAACTATGGAGTTGGATTTTTTCCATTACAAAGGAGAGTAGAGGAGAGATTAGTGCTTGATTGTTCAATTGAATTTGAAAATTTAAATTTAATAATTTTTAAAAATGTAAATTTAATTTGAACAGTTTAAATTTATAGTAAAGAGATAATGAAAGAAAAAAAAAACAAAGAAGAAAACCTACCTTCAAAACTATAGGGGGTTATACTTGTGTGGAATTGTTGGCCCAAAAAAACAGAGAGACAAACTTATGTGGAGTTTGAGATGAGTTAAATTTTCTATTATCTAATAGTAATGAAATTGCATATACTATTCATATTTTGGTGCTTATATGCGGAGTTCATATGCTCCCAGTGTTCTCCATTACAATGCATTATCTGGAAAAATTCTTTCGTCATTGATACAAAACACTTATTAGCTACCTTTTTTTTTATATTATCTTTATTTAAATTTATTAATTATGAAAAATAATATAATGCAAATTTAAAATTTTTTTTATTTAAATAGAAGTAAAATTTAAAATTTATTATATTTTCAAATAAAATTATTAATTTAACCGTCTTTTATTGATTCTTGTGAGATAATTAGAGGTGTCTTATAATAAAGATAAAAGATAATATATATATATATATATATTATTTATTTATTTATTTATTTGGCCAAATGCACCAAGTTCATTTTTACGATGAGGTATATAAACCTTTTATATTTTTATTTTCAAAATTAAAACATAATTTTAAAAATTGAAAATGAAAAGTTATTTTATTTCTAGTAAAATAGTAACATATTCAAATTATAAAATTAAAATGAAATAAAATCTAAGACATGTAAAATAGCTTCTCTTTGAAATGCGCAACAATCCGAAACTGCTTTTGGTTGGAAACAAGCGCAATTCAAGTGTCAAACTTCAATCTCGCAGTGAAAACGTCTCGTCCTGATAAAGATATTGATCCTTTTAGGTTTTCTCAAGTGTGAATTTGAGTTCCATTTAGCCCTGCATCGCTTTATTTTAAGGAAATCCTTGTTGCTTGAGTAATGCTTGCAGTATATCCAAAAGAAGTCATACATTGTCTGTACATGAATGGGCATTTTTTGGCCGAAATCTATGAACATCATTTTTCGTGTTAATTAATGTCTTCTACTGTTAAATCTGGTTATGCCTCATCTTTTTATGTTCCTATTTTTCTACTGTACAAATGAATACCCTCTCTCATACATTTACTGTTACATTGAAAGAATGAGTTATAGTTAAGATTGTACCATAATAAAATAGGTCCTTTGGTTCTATTTAAAAGACACCTTCTAAAAATAATTTTTGATCCAAAATATAAGACATCTTATAATAATTAAACCATTTTTTTTCAATTTTACCCTTTGTAGATTAGCGTGAATGTATTTAATGTAGTTATATTATTATTTAAAATCAAGAATAAAAATGAGAGCACATATCACTTTTTTTATTCTATCAAGAAAAAAATTAGCTTTTCTTAAAATGCATGAAATGGTTAAAAATGTCATATAATAAAAATTGGAGGGAGTATATGGGAAGTCCACAATTTCTGTATGAGTATTTCAACTTCAAATTTTTATACATGATAGCTTGTCTTACTGGCCCAGAAATTGGACCTAACATTAATTTTGAAGCATCACTTTCCCATTATTTGTGTTGGAATCAATTTTCGTTTGTTCACCTCAATGGAAATCATTTCTTATTATAGTTAGCCTCCTTGTGATGTCCATCGTATTTGCTCTATCTTTGGGTGATTCCTCTGAGCATGCAAGTCCGATGCTAAATAGTGAACTTATAGCCTTTTTTTCATTAGGGTGCATCAGGGTCTGGTTCTCCATAATGATTTGCTCTGATCCTCCCGTTTCAGTCTGCCTTATTTGTTTTGGTAAAAGAGCTTAGTCCACGATGTCCAAGAGGTTATTTGGTTTTGCAGTTTTCGCATAGTTATGGAGATTGTGACCATCTTTGAACATTTCTTCGGTGGGTCTTTTGCCTGCAAGCATTTCCAAAACTAAAATCCCGAAAGAATAAACATCACCTTGCATTGATACCTCAGAACCTATTCCATACTCTGAAATACATGACAATATGTTAAATATTTGTTATTCATTATTCTTGAAGTGATTCAACGTTAAAAAAAGGCTCATAAAAAGATGTGAAACTTAAAATTTAGATAACAACAAATCATAACAGGAGGAGCATAGCCAATAGTGCCTTTTATTCCAACTGTGCTGCTTTGCTTCTGAGAGCTGCCACTAAGGATTGAGAGAAGTCTTGCTAACCCAAAGTCACTTACATGAGCAATCATATCATCATCATCCAGAAGAATATTGCTTGGCTTGAAGTCACGATGGACAATAGTTTGTTCACATTCATAATGAAGATAATGTAGGGCACAAGCAACATCATTTAAAATACTTAATCTTTGAGTGAAATTCAAAGTTCTAGTCTGATCTATACTTCCTGGACTAGGATGCAACCATTTTTCCGAGCTTCCATTTGACATGTACTCAAAGATTAGTGCTTTAAACTCCAGCCCTTTATAATCTGTGCTGGATCAACATGTTAAAATCTTGACCAAATTTCAATGCCTGATGTGTTTAAGTGCATTACATTCAGAAATGAAACTCTTGTGAGCTCCCTTCTTTTAAAGGTTTAGGACCTTTATAGCAACAACTTTGTCTTCTGATTGCAGCTTTCCTTTATACACAAAACCGGAACTTCCACATCCAATCAAGCTGTTGGAAGAGAACCCTTCAGTTGCAGAGTACAAGCTTTGGTATGAAATGTTGGGGAGCTGGTCAGTTGTTGGTGAAGTTCAAGACAATGTCCTTTTTCGTTTCTTCCACCAGTAGATAGCAAATATAGATGCTAGCACAAGACAAACAGCAACACCAACAATAATCACTAAGAGCTTCAAATGATTATGTTTACTGTTTGTCCTAATTCTGATAGGGCATGGTGGTAAATTTAGCTCAGAAGTACCCCGGCAAAGCTTATAATTACCCACAACAGATATGGCACTTGCATTCTTGAAAACCCCATCTGTAGGTACTTCACCATCCAACGCATTAAATGAAACATTCAAGTATTCAAGGACGGAAATATTCTGCAGACCTATTGGCATTGATCCAGACAAGTTATTTTTTGATAGATCTAGATACCTAAGGCCTTTTAGTGAAGCTAGTGAAGGGGGCATGGACCCACTGAAAAAATTCCCCTGTAACATAAGGTATTCCGTATTCCAGACTTGTGCAGTCTCCTATGGAACTAGGAATCTCCCCAGAGAGATGATTTTCCGAGATATCAAAAGTGCCAAGATTTTTCAGTCTTCCCACCTCTATAGGAAGAGAGCCAGTTAACGAGTTGTGAGAGAAGTCCAGGAATGTCGACAAGGAGCAAAGAGTAAAAACCTGCAAAGGTATAACACCACTTACACCACTTATATTGTTTTCTGAAAGGTATAGAAACAATAAATTTTTCCAATTTCCTATCCCTGGTGGAATGGTTCCTTCAAGCGTATGCTGAGAAAACCTTAATTTCACCAAACGACTGAGATTGCCTAAGGTGGTTGGTATCTCTCCAGGGAGTTGGTTTGTCCTCAAGGCTAATATTTGCAACTTTTGTAACTTCCCAAAAGATGCTGGTATTGAGCCTGTAAATTGGTTGTATTCCAGGATCAAGCCAATTAAATTCGTGTACCTTCCTAAAGTTTCAGGAATAGTTCCATATATCTGATTATCACCAAGGTACAGTCGTATGAGTTGGGTTGACAGATTGCTTATGGAGTCAGGTAAAAGACCTCCGAATTTGTTGGAGGATGGAATCAAATTTTATAATTTGGTACAATTTTCCAAGATGTTATAAAATCCAAGTCATGATTTGAACTGTTTCCAGGTTCAAATTTAGCCACTGCAGGTCTTTTAGGCTCCCTAGACTTGGAACTTTTCCAAAAAAACTGTTTACACCAATATCAAATACATGAAGAAAGGATGCGTTTGTTATTGAAGTTGGGATTAAACTTGATATTTGATTCTCACCTATGCCAAAAACTTGCAAATTAGGAAGGGTGGTGAACGTGTTGTCTGGAAGCCTAGTCACTCGGTTGGTTATTTACTGCAGATATGAATGTGAGAGATGACATATTATAGAATGACTAAGGAAGCATACCAAAAAAATTGTTCTCAACTATTGATAAGACACTCAAGCTTTTCAAATGGCCTATTTCTTCTGGTATGCTCCCCTCCAAGTTGTTATAAGATACTGAAAGAGCATAAAGGGAGGAAAGATTCCACATGGAAGCAGGGATTTCTCCTGTTAAATTGTTGGTAAATAAGCTCAAGAATTCAAGCTTCCTGAGAGAGCCAATCTCAAATGGTATTTTACCTGTAAGGCTATTCCTATACAAATATAAGCGCCGCAGTTCAGTGCAGTTTGTCAGGCTGAGTGGAATCTCTCCTGTCAATGTATTTCCTGAGAGATATAGTTGCTGCAGCCTAAACAAAGGACCCAATTCTGGTGGGATTTCTCCATGGAAGCTGTTATTTGGAAGGTAGAGGCTTCTGAGGAAAGAGAGGTTGCCAACATGGGGTGATAGTGCCCCATGGAAACGATATCCTGACAGCCTCAACTCAACGACTGTTTGATGCTTGCGGCTGCACGTGATTCCAGACCAGTTGCAGAAGTTAGTTGAACTATTCCAGGAGCTTAAGACTTCAAATGGATCACTTGCTTATTGATCCTTTAAACTTGAGCAATGCCATATAGTCCGTCTCATTTCCTAATGCTGATGCAGGTTTGATATTTTGGAGGCAGGGTATGTTTACACACAGGATCATGATCATTCGAAGGCTTGTGGAAGGAAATGGATATGACATGGGATCAAAAGCCATTGTTGTGTTGAAGAACAGAAGGTGGTGAGTGAAAGGAATGCTACGTGAATTTGAGATATTGAAATCCCCTCTTGCTGATACGAGGACACAAGGTTGGTTTATATAATAGTTGGAGGGAAACCGCTAGTGGGTCTCAAGGGGCTAGGGTGCGACATGTAAATCTTGATCCCATAGAAAAATACATTAAATGCGTTTTTTTTTTTTTAAAGGAAGTTGGTGAAGGAAAAAGGTGTTATATTTATATGTTTTTTGATCTCCTGAAAAAGTCATTCATTATTGTAAATTATCTTAATGTATAGGCTTTATTTGAAAAAAAGAATAAAATCCTTGAAAACCAATCATGACAAGACAAATAAGGAATAAAGTTGACAAAAGTAGGAAAAGGGAAACATGACATATATTTCTTTAAGGTACCTCAATTAATTCAGTCGCTCTTCATGGTCCAAGCCTAACCCTCAGGAGATCATTATTGAACTAAATTCGTATATAATGTTTTTCATTATGGTCGTGAAATGTTATAAATATTTAGATGAATTATAAACATTAAATAATCACTTCAAGACATAAGACTAAGTTAATTTTTAAGATCAACAATAGAAACAATATGATTAATTTAGCTCATAGGAACTAAATTTGAAAATTTATATATAAAATAAAAATTTGGAAAATTGTCATTTAAGAACTGCTGAGGCAATTTAATATCAAACAAGTATAAAAAAATTTTGAAATATCATTATAGGATCAAAGGACTTGTTTGAAAATGATTTTTTTTAGAGGAAAAGATTATAATACTTCTACTCTTTTTTTTTAAACTTATCAATTAGTGAATGATTTCTTATTAAATATAAATAAGTATTAGTTAATTAATGAATGACTACTTGTTAAAATATGATTTATACTTTTTTTTATAACCAAACTCTTTCATATTTTAAAATTTTTTAATTAGTAAATAATTTCTTATTAAATGTGAATAGGTACTTATTAATTATTAACAAATGACTACTTGTCAATTAAAAAAAAGCAAGGGTATTAAAGTTTTTTTTTCAATATAAAATTGTTTTCAAATCAGACTCTTAATCATGCAATGATATCTTAAAATCTTTTAATCCTTATTTGATATTAAATTATTTCAATGGTGTTATGATATTTCTCCAAAAAAGAATTTAACAAGTTGCACTTTTCATGAAGTAATTGGGCTCTATTCTCAAACCTTATACAACATGTGGGATCGATGTTAGTTAATTTAAAATAACATGAAAATAAAAAAAATGGTTCGAAATGTCAAAAAAAAATCAATTACATTGATATATCATTTTAATGTGAAAGGTCACATTGAAAGTAAACTGTGGTAGCTCTGAACCAAAAAACAATGTCATTTTGTTGTTGTTGTTGTTAACATTTATTTGGCATTTAGAATTACCGACTAATTTAGATTGAAGAATTCTTGGATCCAAATTGGAATTATTTTCAATATTTATGATATTAGAATCCTTGATCTTATTTAATGGCTATCAAGTCCAATTTGGGGATAGTTTTTCATGTACAATATTTGAATCTTAATCTCATCTAAGGGGTCTTCAAATCCCTTTCACTTTGTTCACTTTATTTAATAATGTTGGTAGAAAATGTCACTTATGGAATTGATAACAAGTGATTGGTATGCATCCTTGACTCCTTCCATTGCAAACGACTACAATTTCTCTATGAAAGTCCAAAAGCTGGTATAGCATAAAAATAACTAAATGGATTTGAATTTACAATGAGTTGGATTTGCCAAGAGGAAATAACTTAGTGCCCTAATTTCAAACTTAGCCTTTGAGTATGCCCAAAAGCTTAACTGGTTCAGTGCAGTTAGCTTATGTTGACCGGATTGATTCTGGTTAGATATCAAGTCAATGATTCTAATTAGTCTAACTCAATAGTATGTTATACAAATATCTAGTTGAACATTGTATTTATTACAAGTAGTTTTGTAACATTGGCCAAAAGATATAAACGATCAAGAAAATTCTGCCGGCCATTGTTAAATATAACTGTCACGTTCAAGCAAAATAAAACCAAAAAAAAAAAAAACGAAAACAATCTGCATATCTTATATTTGAAGGAAAAAAAAAACTCAAAATTCAAATAACAAATTTTTATTTTGAAGAAGGGGAGCATTTTGCGGTTTTGCCTCACTTCTATCTCCAAAAGTCACTCAAAACTTGAAAAAAAGAATTACCTTCTAAATCCTTGTTGCTTGAGTGATGCTTCCAGTATAGTCTAGAGATCTTATAAATTGTCTGTCCATGAATGGGTATTTTTATGACTGTTACTGTTAACTCTGATTATGTCTCATCTTTTTATGTTTGTACTTTTTCCTTTGCAAATAAATACCGTCTCTCATGCACTAACTTTAATATTGGAAGAACGAATTGTGGATCAGATTAATATGAGAAGTTCATTATTTATGTATGAATATTTCAAGTACAAATTTGTGTAAATGATTCACTTATGAAGAAGCACTTTTCCATTCTTTGTTTTGCAATCAATTTCCTTCCAATTCAAGACAATAAAAAAAAAAAAACCATTTCTAATTAGATTGAGCCTCCTTGTGATATCCATTAGGTTCTCTCTTTCTCTGGGAGATTCTTCTGAGCAAGCAAGTCCAATGTTAAATAGTGAAACTATAGACTTCTCTTCATTAGAATGCATCAGTCTCTGATTCTGCATGTTGATTTCCCTGATCTTACCGGGTCTTCATTACAGCTGAGTCCACCATGTTCAATATGTTATCTGGGTATGCAGTTTTCTCATAGCTATGGAGACTGTGACCATCTTTGAACATTTCTTCGGCGGGCCTTTTAGCAGTAAGCATTTCCAAAACTAGAATCCTTAAAGAGTAAACATCACCTTGTGTTGATACCTCAGAACCTACTCCATACTCTGAATACATTGCAATATGTCAAAGATTTGTAATTCCTTATTCATACAGTGACTGAACATAAAAATTATTTATAAAAAAAATTTGAAATTTAAGAGTTGAAAAGCCAAAATAACAATAAATCATACCAGGAGGAGCATAGCCAATGGTCCCTTTTATTCCAATTGTGTTGGTTTGCTTTTGAGAACTGCCATTGAGGATTGACAGAAGCCTTGCTAACCCAAAGTCACTTACATGGGCAATCATATCATCGTCAAGAAAAACATTGCTTGGCTTTAAGTCACAATGGACAATAGTTTGCTCACATTCATAAGGAAGATAACGTAGTGTGCAAGGAACTTTCCGCCAGCCAATTAAATCTGTGTACCTTCCTAAAGATTCAGGAATGGTTCCATATATCTGATTATCACGAAGGTACAGTCCAATGAGTTGGGTTGGCAAATTGCATTTTTATCTGATTATCAGAAAAAATAATGAAGTTTTTTGAAGGTGAAAGTTCATTTTGCATCATTTCCATGTCCAGTAGTTTCCTAAAACAAGAAAGAATTACTTCTACCACGCCACCAAGCACCAAAGTTATAACGTTTTAAAGCTTGACCTTCCATGCCTTAATTTCGCCCCTTGTTTCTTCCTCTAAACATCCGTCTTTCTCTCCCCCAGCTGTATAAAATGGTTACAAACATTCGAATATTTAAAACTTTAAATAACAACAATATTATATGAGCGTGTATAAACATTCCAACCACAAATTTATATAATAATAGCTTGTCTTACTGATCAAGAAATTGATAATAATAGCACTTCTGAAGTAGCACTTTCCATTCTTTCTTTTGGATTCAATTTCCGTGGCCACAAAAGGCAGTAGTAATCAGATTTAGTCTCCTTGTGGTATTCATCATGTTCGCTCTTTCTTTTGGTGTTTCTTCTGAGCAAGCAAGTCCAATGCTAAATAGTGAGATCAGGGTCTGGTTTTCCATGTTTATTTTCTCTGATCTTGCTGTTGCAGTCTGCTTTATTTCTTTTGACAGAAGAGCTGAGTCTACGATGTCCACGATGTTATCTGGGTATGCAGTTTTTGCATAGTTATGGAGATTGTGGCCATCTTTGAACATTTCCTCAGTGGGTCTTTTGCCAGTAAGCATTTCCAAAACCAGAATCCCAAAAGAATAAACATCACCTTGTGTTGATACCTCAGAACCCATTCCATACTCTGAAATACATCACAATATGTCGAGAATTTGGAATTCATTATTCTTACAGTAACTAAACATAAAAACGGTTCATAAAATTATTGAAATTTAAAAAATTTGAAAGCTAAATAACAACAAATCATACCAGGAGGAGCATAGCCAATAGTGCCTTTTATTCCAACTGTGCTGCTTTGCTTCTGAGAACTGCCACTAAGGATTGAGAGAAGTCTTGCTAACCCAAAGTCACTTACATGAGCAACCATATCATCATCAAGAAGAATATTGCTTGGCTTTAAGTCACAATGGACAATAGTTTTCTCACATTCATAATGAAGATAATGTAGGGCACAAGCAACATCATTTAGAATACTTAATCTTTTAGTGAAATTCAAAGTTCTAGTCTGATCTATACTTCCTGGACTTGGATGCAACCATTCTTCCAAGCTTCCATTTGACATGTACTCAAAGACCAAGGCTTTAAATTCTTGCCCTTTATAATCTAAGCTGGAGCAGCATGTTAAAACCTTAACTAAATTTCGATGCCTGATATTTTTAAGTGCATTACATTCAGAAATGAAACTCTTGTGAGCTCCCTTCTTTTGAAGGTTTAGGACCTTTATAGCAACAACTTTGTCTTCTGATTGCAGCATTCCTTTATACACAAAACCAGAACTTCCATATCCAATCAAGTTCTTGGAAGAGAACCCTTCAGTGGCAGAGTGTAATCTCTGGTATGACAACTTGGAGAGCTGGTCAATTGGTTGTGAAGTAGAAGACAATATCCTGTTTCGTTTCCTCCACCAGTAGATAGCAGATATAGATGCTAGCACAAGACAAACAGCAACACAAATAATAATAACCAAAAGCTTCAAATGAAGATGTTTACTTTTTGTCCTAATATTGAAAGGGCATGGTGGTAAATGCAACTCATAAATACCCCCACAAAGCTTATAATTACCCGCAACAAATATGGCACTTGCATTCTTGAAAACCCCATCTGTGGGAACTTCACCATCCAACGCATTAAATGAAACATTCAGGTATTCAAGAATGGAAATATTCTGTAGACCTTTTGGTATTGATCCAGACAAGTTGTTGTGTGATAGATCAAGATACTTAAGGCCTTTTAGTGAAGCTAGTGAAGGGGGCATGGAGCCATTGAACGAATTCCCCTGTAAGCTAAGGTATTCCAAACTTGTACAGTCACCTATGGTCCGAGGAATCTCCCCAGAAAGATAATTTTCAGAAATATCAAAAGTGCCAATATTTTTAAGTTTTCCCACCTCAATAGGAAGAGAGCCGTTTAATGAGTTGTGAGATAAGTTCAGCAATGTGGACAAGGAGAACAGACTAAAAACCTGCAAGGGTATAGCACCACTAAGATTGTTTTCTGAAAGGTCCAGAAAGACTATATTTTGCCAACTTTCTATCACTGGTGGAATTTTTCCTTCAAGCATATTCTGTGAAAAGCTTAGTTGAACCAATTGACTGAGATTGGCCAAGGAGGCTGGTATCTCACCAGAGAGTTGGTTTCTCCCCAAGCCTAATATTTGCAACTCATGAAACTTTCCAAAAGAAGCTGGAATTGAGCCTGTAAACTGGTTGTATTCCAGCACCAACGCAATTAAATTCGTGTACCTTCCTAAAGTTTCAGGAATAGTTCCATATATCTGATTATCACCAAGGTACAGTCGTATGAGTTGGGTTGACAAATTACTTATGGAGTCGGGTAAAAGACCTCCGAATCTATTGGTGGAAAGAATCAAATTTTCTAGTTTGGTACAATTTTCCAAAGATGATATAAAATCCAAGTCATGATTTGAACTATTTCCAAGATTATTATAGTTCAAATTTAACCACTGCAAGTCTTTTAGGCTTCCTAGGCTTGGAACTTCTCCAAAAAAGTTGTTTACACCAATGTCAAATAGTTGAAGAAAGGTTGCATTTGTTATTGAAGTTGGTATCGAACTTGATATTTGATTCCCACCTATGCCAAAAGATTGCAAATTAGGGAGGGTGGTGAACATGTTGTCTGGAAGCTTAGTGCGACTCAGTTGGTTATTTGCTGCAGATATGAATGTGAGAGATGACATATTATAGAATGAGTAAGGAAGCATACCAAAAAATTTGTTCTCAACTATTGATAAAACACTCAAGCTTTTCAAATGGCCTATTTCTTCTGGTATGATCCCCTCCAAGTTGTTAAAAGCCACCGAAAGAACATTAAGAGAGGAAAGATTCCACATGGAAGCTGGGATTTCTCCAGTTAAATTGTTGGTAAATAAGTTCAACTTTTCAAGCTTCCTGAGAGAGCCAATCTCAAATGGTATTTTACCTGTAAGACTATTGCTTGACAAATTTACGTGCTGTAGTTCAGTGCAGTTTGTCAGGCTGAGTGGAATCTCTCCTGTCAACATATTATTTCTGAGAGAGAGTTTCTGTAGTCTGAACAAATGACCCAATTCTGGTGGGATTTCTCCATAGAAGCTGTTATTTGGAAGGTAGAGGTTTCTCAGGAAAGAGAGGTTGCCAACATGGGGTGAGAGGACCCCACGCAAATGATATCCGGGCAGCCTCAACTCAATGACTCTTTGGTGCTTTTGGCTGCATGTGATTCCATGCCAGTTGCAGAGGTGACTTGAACTATTCCAGGAGCTCAAGGCTTCAAATGGATCATTGGCTATTGATTCTTTAAACTTGAGCAATGCCATATAGTCAGTCTCATTTCCTGATGCAGATGCAGCACTGATATTTTGAAGCCAGATTAAGTTCACACACAGAGAAATGATTGCTTGAAGGTATATGGAACAAAATTGAGACAAGGAAGCAAAAGCCATTGCTGGGTTGAAGAACAGAAGGTGGTGAATGAAAGGAATGCTATGAGAATTTGAGATATTGAAACGCCCTCCTGCTGATACGAGAAGAAAAGGTTAGTTTATATAATAGTTGTAGTGAAACTGCACGTGGGTCCCAAGAGAAAAAAAAAAATATTGTAGAAATGAAACATGAGCTTCTTGTATCTTCTGTCGAATTTGGATTTATGTCTTGTTAAAATTTAAAATTTGCTAATTGATCTGAAGTCAGAGAACCAAATTTTATATGGCATAAACTAAAAATGATAACGTTGTTCTATATCTTGAGTTTACACTTATCTAGATCATTCTCATTTTAAATATACACTTAAATAATATAAATTTCACAGCTGTTTCCTTAAATTGTTCTTTGCATCATTATTGCAGTATGCATTGACCTATTGCTTTTTGGACGTATGAAAAATATATGGACCTAAGGTTGTATTGAATATTTTAACTTCATCCATGTCTTTCCGTCATTCTAAGATTGGTGTGAAGAAAAGCATGGCATAGGCTGAGACTGATAAGTATGGTTTTTTCAGTCATAGCTGTTAGATATCAGCTCATGTGGTTTATCTTTATTCCGTCAAATATGGCAACTATAAATATGGTGGGAGTAATTACGAAATGAATGCTAGTTGAAATGGTTGTACAATGGATATCATATTAAAAAAAAAAAAAAGGTAAAGGGACATTGTATGCCCTTGAATATTTCTGTAGAAAGATTTTGTGAACCTCAATGTGTAGAGGGTAACATCCTGAAATCAATTTGGTGCCAGTGGTTTAAAGTGACTAATTCAACCCGTTGTGATCAATTGTTGTACCTAGTGTGCCACATTAAATAACTGGGGATGAACCAAATCTCCCCAAGTAAGATTTACACATGTGACCAATGAGTTAAGTGTTGTTGTCCTTTTTTTTTAGGGTACTAGTCTACCTGGTCTCTGAAAATTATATTGGATTCTGACTAATATGGATTGATTGTGCTGAGCAAAATCACAAGGGTGGCAAAGGTTTTCCAGCATGTTTTTCAACACGTTCCATGTGCTTGTCCAAGGTTTGAACTTGAAACCGTTGGTTAAGTTAGTATAACCTCCTATTAGCTATGAGTTCATTAGTGACAACTGATCTATTATTGACAGACACACAGAAAATTGCATATTTTAAATGCCTTCTGATGCATTAACTTAATACTCATAGAAAAGCAAGTGTTGGAATATTTTCAAAATAAAGAGGTGTCTTTTTGAAAAGTCATGCCCTTATTAATTAATGAATTTTTATGAAAGGTTATGTAGAGAATTATAGTTACTAAGGTCACGTCTCTCTAATTTATAAAGGCACTTTAGAGGGTTATAAAACTAAAAAGTGTCACTTGGTGAAAGAAAATGTATTTCAAAAAAATTTTACATATTAAAAGGATGTTTCTTTTCATGAAAAGTTATTATAAATAACTCTTGGTTAATGTTAATGATTAAACTACATAGGTTATGAACTAACATAGAAATGTTCATGAATTAAACATAAGTTTGTCCATGAATAATATAAGGGTTATGAACCAATATTGGTTATAACTTTTAAGGAAACTTTTATCATTTAAAAGATATCATTTTAAGGTATCACTTCACTATCTACAAGTACCTCTCACCATTACTCATTTTAGAGATCCATCTATTAAAACTCATTACCTTTATTCTTTAAAGGTACCAAAGGTAAAGTCAAATTATTACTTTGTAAAAGCCATTATTATCTTCGCTTTAGTCTTAATAGTACAAATCATACTTAAGAGTTTTTCTTGTATCTTGAAAGAAATTCGTCAGCATCCCAACTTGCATCTGAAGATTGGAATAGGTGGGGGGGGGGGGAATTAAGCCTAAAGGAAAGTGATGCGCACTCCTTGAAGACAACATGCACAACTTTCTTCTTCATCTCTGCTTCTTTCGTTCTTCATAGGGCCATCCCTGCCAACAGCAAGTTGACAGTAAAACATAAGGTTAGTTGAAGAAGTTGAAGTTGCTGGGACCAAAATGGAATTGAACTGGGACCAAAATGTCATTGTTGGGATTGAGTAAATAAAGATGATGAAGATTGTGAATGTTCTACAGTTTGGCACATAGAAATGCTGTTACAGTGTGAATGCTGGACAGATTGACAAACAAAAATGCTGCTATTCATTCTGACTTTTGGTTTTAGGATCATATTTAAAATTTCAAGCTCATTAATTTATTGTCTCCATTTTTTTTTTTTTTACATTGGAGCTGGGGAGATTATGATTGAATCATATCTTCTTTCTTTATACCTCTGTGGAAATAATTCTCATTTTTTAAATCTGCACCTGAACGATACAAATTTGATTCTGGTTGCTTCTCTGACTTGTTTATTTCGATCAGTACCACAGTCCACATTGACTGTGTTTCTTGCTTTGGGCGTACGGCACAGGAAAGGTCCCACTTTTAGTTTATATGCCAATCAATGTATTAAAAAAAAAAACCAAGCATAGTTGACTAACGAATGCAGAATGTCTTAAGATGATTATTTTAAATTTATTTAGTTATTTATGTACTTGAAAGAAAAGTCATAGAATCTTGCAAAGTCAGTCATGAGTCATGATCAATGCCGAAGAGTTGATTGAAATGGTGAAAAGAAAAGGAAGAAACATGACGTGTATTTCTCTCATAAGGTGACTTGATAAATCCAATGGCTCTTCAGTGGTTTCGAAGTCCAACTACCAATAGCAGCATTATTTGACCAAAGAGGAAAATAAACGGGAAAATCACTCTCAGGTCCCATATAAGTAATTTAAATATAAAGAAATCTCATAAAATCACAAAATTACACACACAAAAATGATTGCTTGAAGGTCTATGGAACGAAATTGAGACAAGGAAGCAAAAACCATTGTTGGCTTGAAGAACAGAAGGTGGTAAGTGAAGGAATGCTATGAGAGTCTGAGATATTGAAATGCCCTCCTGCTGATACAAGATGAAAAGGTTAGTTTATATAATAGTTGGAGTGAAACTACATGAGGGTCCCAAGAGCAACAAAATATTGTAGAAATGAAACATAAGTGAAAATCTGTTGATATTTGGATTTACGTCTTGTTAAAATTTAAAATTTGCTATTTGATCTGAAGTCAGAGAGCCAAATTTTATATCTTGAGTTTACACTTATCTAGATCATTGTCATTTTAAATATACACTTAAATAATATAAACATCACAGCTATTTCCTTAATTTGTTCTTTGTATCATTTTTGCAGTATCCATTGACCTATTGCTTTTGGACGTATGCAACAAATATGGATTCAAGGTTGCATTGAATATTTTGTCAACTTCATTGGTGCCTTCCTTTCTACCATTCTAAGATTGGGGTGAAGATGGTGGCTGATGAGAGAAATTCCTCTTTGTTGCTTATAGCTAGCTAGTTTGTACTTTGTTACTTTGTATTATCACTTTTAATTTGAAAAAAAAAAAAAAAGATTGGTGTGAAGAAAAGCATGCCATGGGCATGGGACTGATAAGTATTCAGACATGGCTGTGAGATTTTCAGCCCATGTGGTCATCTTCATGCTGCCAAATATGGCGATTACAAATATATGGGGAATAAAAAGTAGGAAATGAATGCTAGTTGAAAAGGTTGTATAATGGATATTAGATTAAAAATTAAAGTAAAAGGACATTGTATGCCAATATTTACGTAGAAAGATGCAAAAATGACAATTAGGAAACCTATAAGAACATTAATGACAATTACAAATCTTGAACTATTGAAATTATAATAACAGACTATGGTTTTTACTTGCAATTAAAAAAATGCAAATAGTTAGTTGAAAAATTAACAAAACACACTTGGGACTATTTGTAGCATCAGTTGAAAATTTATGATAGTTAGTTATGAATTTCAATTTTTTATTAGCAATATGCAGATAAACCACTTGGGAAATTAAGAAAATACATTTAGGATTATTTGTAAAGTTAATTGAAAATTTATGAGAGTTAATTGTAAATCACGAGTCAATCCTTTGTGATATTTTGCTGTTGATATATAGATAAATTGCTTAAGAAATCTATAAAATACACTTAAGATTATTTGTAATATTAGTTGAAAATTTATTAGAATCAGTTATGAATTGGAAACTAATCACTTGTATTTTTTGTCATCGCTTAAGAAATTAACAAAAGATACTTAGGAATCTTTCTAGCGTTAGTTGAAAATTTATAAAAAACTACTGTAAATCTCAAGGCCAATCAACAAATGATAATTTATTGCAAGTAAAGACCATAGTCTCTTATTGAGATTTTAATAATTTATGATTTGTAATTGCCATTAATGTTCTTTTAAAGCCCCTAATTGTCATTTTCCCTAGAAAGATTTTGCGAACCTCAATGTGTAGATGGTAACTTGCATTTTGCTGCCTTGTAGTTTGGCCTGAAATCAGTTTGGTGCCAATGGTTTAAAGTGACTAGTTCAACATATGACCAACGAGTTAAGTGCTGCTGCACTTTTTTTAAAAAAAAGGTACCAATCTACCTGGTATCCGAAGGCTATATTGGATTCTAACTAACATGGATCGAGTTGAATAAAATCACAGGGGTGGTGGAAGTCTTCCAGCATGGTTTTAACATGTTCTTATCCAATGTTTGAACTTGATACTATTGGTTAAGTTAGGATAATCTTCTATTAACCATGAGCTCGTTAGTGACTGACTCCTCCATTATTGATAGACAATGAAAAAATTGCATCTTTTAAATGCCTTGTGATGCATTAACTTAATACTAATGGAAATGCACTTGTGACCTTTAAGGGGCTGTTTGCTTGCTGGGAAGAAAATGAATGGAATGGATAAAAAATTAAAGATAAAAATAGAATGGTTAAAATGTGGAGAGAATATCAGTCAACTATGTTTGTGAATGGAAAAGGATAATTTAATTTATAAAGTTGGAAATCATAATTCATAAGGTTTATGAAAAATATGGTGATTCACACACCTTCATGGTATATAGTATTAAATTTTATCATTCTTGTTGTGAAGGAGAGA